GGCAAAAACTACCCCGAAATATGTGCTATAATTTTTGACTGAACTGTTGGCCAGTAGGAGACTCTGTTTATAGAAATTTATTAATTTGGTCGGTAATGTAGGGCCTCAATTGCTATCTCGGCTTTTAATCCAATCTTCGGTGAAAAAAATATAAAAACGGAATTGCTGTTACTGCTGTTTACACATTCTGAAGTTGATTGTCTCTTGCTTCTTTAATGTCCTCATTTTGGGACTTCATTGACTTTAACATTTCGTCTGTTTGGCGTCAACGCTGTAAAACAATTCCACGGTCCTCAGGTTTTGCGCGTATTCTGCCAGTATGGTTTTGTGATCTCCGAAATCTACCTATTTTTTTCCCATTTCTTTTTCCCTAGGGGTTGTTGGTCTGGTTGAACCTAAGTTTGCATGTAGTGCTTTTATGCGGTTATCAAGGGGGTGTTAGTGCCACTTCAGCCTCCTTCCAAAAAAACAGAATTAGTTTTGACAAAACCCAAAATTTGTAGGTGATTCCTATCTTTTTTCACAGTCGCGAGAAAGGCTATTTTGATCACTCCAATAAAAGTGTGTTAGGTGGAAAAGAAAGTTTTTGTTTGTTATTTTGTCTTAATTATCGGGTTTATAGCTTCTTCCTCCAAACGATCGTGGCTGCTCATAAATTATTGCCTTTGGTGGGTATTGTACTGCACTATAACAGGCGTTACACACATGGCTTGCCATTAGGCTAACAGGATGTGCAGCTTAAGCCTTATGCAATAGATCATGTACCGTTTTGCAATGCCTCAAGAGTCTATTATGTTAATGCAAGCAAAATATCTCTAATGGAACAGTTTTTGTGCGATGGAATAAAGAACCTCGCCCTAAAAGCAGCTCTAAACAGTCCTCTTCTACTGTCCTTTCACCCTATTCTTAATTTAGTAATCAGAACAAGTCATCATTAACCTTTTAATAAGTAGAATCTTAGTCTGAGTAAATTTCTGGCAAAAGTTGACCATGGGATTCGGACCTGCGGCCCGTTGCATGTGGCAATATGGAAGTATTTTTTGTGTGTGTATCTGCACTGCGGTTTTCCAATTGCCGTCGTGCGTAGATACCTATTCGTATGGTTTCTCAACGTAGCAACGAATTTTGTAGTGCTTTTCTTGTGCTATGCTTTAGCCTTATCACACTGCAGTGATTGCCTTTTAGCTTTGTGGATCTCGCATAAACCAGCAAAAATTTCCATTCGAATGTCCAATATTTTGTGAGAAATTTGAGAACCTTGTCAAACTTACTCCTCACGTTTTTCTCCAAGGTACACATTTGGAAGGACATTAAAATGACAAACAAAGTCTCATTTGTATGTCATCCAATCCACTACACGTAATTTTTGTAAATATAACTACGGACCCTTTGTGCACTGTGCCGTCCATGTTTCTTTTTACTTATTGATGTTTCCAAAATCCACTGTGGCTTTTTTAAAGGCCTCGACTGATTAGTATTACCCTCAGGCCTTGGGCACCACCTGCCGTCGTATCTTAACCACGTTCTCGTACTTCGATTTACTTTTCGGTGTAGCTAACCCTAATTGGGCTTTGGCCGCATGCATTATGTAGAGCTTTCCAGCTTTTACCTACTACACCGAAATCACAGTCACATCGCAGGCCTTCTACTTATTTAAATGGGGTGGTCCCCTGACCTCATTGCTGCTCTACTCCCGTCGCTCTGTGTTAGAGGTGCAGCAAACAACTGGGGACCATATTCAAGTCGTATAGGGTGCGAGTATCGTTTCTGTCGAGATTCTCCCGCAGGCCTAATTTTCGTATTGCTTTGTGTTTTTTTTTGAAATGGAGGTCAATAACCTCGAATGCACTTTCCGTCGATTTAATTAGCCTATTTGTGCAATATGTGGTGTTATTGTGCACTTTTTCAAATATTTCATTATTTACGTCCGACCTATAAAGTGGCAGTTTCCTCTTCACAGATATGTAATTGCATACGTTATTGTGGGAAAAGCTTTTCCCACGTTCACACATTTAATAGTCAGTCTTTCGCCCGAAGGTCTGTCATTCGGTATTTCAACCGACACAATGCCACTCCACTTCGCAATTCACTTTGTTAATTTTCATGCACACTTGGTCACCGCCCTTTATAGCACAGCCAGGAGATTGAAATGGTCCACTATTCTGAGCTCTTGTGTTGAGGTAATTGTCTCCGGCAACTGTCTCTGTTGTGACACTAATTATCGTCACTAAAACGTAATTTCACAATCAAAAATTCGAGGAATTTTGATCAAAACAGATTGGCGTATGTAGAATATCCCAGAGCCCGACATAACTCAAAGTACCCTGTTAGCATACAGACGCTTCTCCTTTCTCTGTTGTCTGAAGTTAGGGTAAATTTACTCAACACACTTGCTATGCGTTTGCTTAGTTTGCTGTCTGTCTGGGACACTTGTGCGTCGATTGAAGCAGCCAAATTGAGTTAGGTTTCTAATTTTAATGCTGTGAAGTCAGGTTAAACACGCTGATGCATTTCACTGGTTAGTTCAAGTAGTTTTTTGTTACCTATTGCAGAGCATCCTGGGCATTATGGCAGGTGTTGTTGGTGAAACCTCGGTATAATACACACTAAAGTAACTATTTATCGTGTTCAAAAATTCAAGGAGTTAATTGGCAGTTATGGTCACAGGAAGCAAAACATTGGCACCTAACTTTGGTAGTATGGACATTCAACAGTCTTTGTTGTTACCAACACAGTTGCTGCAACTCGACTCACAAAGGCTACGTCATTTGATATTCTAGTTTTTGACTTCTCAAGTAATGGACAAAATGCTCCGTCTGCGATCTCAGGTTGCTTAGAACTCTCGTGTTTTAAAGAGTTGGGTGAGGATCGGTTTCTAGTGCCACACTGTCCCATTCATAAACGACCCTCACGATGCACACGGTCGACTTTTGAATTTCCGTTCTGTGTCGCTTGTGCAGCCCTCTCCGTTTCCCGCCCCTTCCTCCTTTCATCACCAACGCTTTGCTTACCTCGCTGAACATTAATCGCGTTCAAACAGACAGTAGCTGTGTTGATGTTGTTGTTGCTCGAAGCTGCTGTGGTTGTAGGCAAAGTGTTTACTACGTGATGTGTGCGTTGAAAAGTGAAAATGAGTTCAACCATGTTCGTCCAAAAGCACTTTGTTGGGAGGGACGGCTCTTTCTCACGTGCTGCACCTCACAATAAAGTCCACGTAATGGTTGTGATTGATTTTAAATTTTCTTTTTACATCTGTACTTCGCGAAATGATCAATGGTGTAACATATATTAAAATTTGATTTACCAAACATTAATGTGGTAAATATACTAGTAGTTCTTCGCGTTGAAATTGAACAAAATCGCAGTACACGTGCAATAATGGCTGCAATAAACGTTAATTAACGTCCCGATGATAGCAAAGGGGAATTTCCAAGTCCTTGCAAAATGTACGTTGCCAATTTTCATTTTTCTTGTGTAGCGTTTAAAAAGTGTAAAGGTGTCCAAAAGGGCTTGTAAAGCCTCTGTCCTATTTCCCATCCGGTAAATCTTGTTAACGGACTGTCGTACTCCTGAATTTTCGGTGGGATATATTTTAGTACCATTTAAATATTTAAATGTTTGTTTTCTTCTAAATCCAAATGCATTGCGTGCCTTCACAATCGGGCGCTGTCTAATAAAAGTTCACAGAATAAACAATGTTAAAATGTGTGAGCCCAGTAAGACACGTGCTGCTAATTGCCCTTGTCTGGTACCTTCCTTTTCCAAAAGGCCGGATTGTTTGTGGTTTTTTTTAGAAATTCCTGTTGCTGTTTCAACCTTGGTCACTAATATTGTTACACGAAATGGTGTCTTGGCATCTTTCTGACTATCTAATTGCGCACCGACAGGCACCACCCAACTTCTCGACCTTGAAGAATACTTGACTTTTTGAAGCGTTCAAGAATGACAGAGCCGTGCAGCCTCCCCTCAGGAGTGGCTCAACAAGGGTGTTAATTTATTGGCCTTTTGGTTGCACGCGCTCGACATCTGTCGAAGTAGACTCCGAAGCACTTTTATACTTGTCTGTTCTAAAAAATATTTTTCTATCATCGGACAAAGAGGTATCAGTTGTTCTTCTGGGTGGTCGCTACGTCGTAAGTAAGCAAATGAATGCGTTCAGGCATTTTTAAGTTTTCAGTAATGTTGTTTGCACATACATACATAGTGGAATTATACACACTGGTTTTAACTTTTCTTCAGCACGCTATTGTCTAAGTTGCTGTCTGCTTGTGTTCTTCTCTGTTGAGAATTTCGCTATGTTACTTTCTGGTGGTTTGCATTTTTTTTCTAAATGCACATAAACCTCTAATAATGGATCTTTCATCTTTGTTAATCCTGTCATTAAAAAACTTTATTAATAATTCTCCAAACCGCTGCCTCGGTATCCTGTGTCATTCCTGCGCAATCAGATGACGTCACTGTAATTTCCAGAGCCAAATTTCTTTGGAAACCCATAACCCAAAAGCCATATTTGTTCCAGAACTTTTGGATACTTCACTCGACATTGGCCACGTTATTGAACAAAACTCGCTTGCTGACATCTCGATAGAAAAGCACCGTGGGCTGTACGCTCGGTGAAAATTTCGTGTGAAGCCACTTGACTCACCCATTTTTCTCACTTGTTGAGATTTTTGTTGAAATCCTTTAGCATTTCTGCCTCATCAACCCAAGTGACATAACTCATCCTTTGTGATTTTTCCTGTTCGACTTTGGTGTCGCAAGTGTTAGTCCTTTCCAAGTGTGTTTTTGACGTCTGGTTGATTAGACCTCTACCAAGCCAAACTCGAGGGCTTCGGAAAAAGTCTATCGTTTGCACGATGAATGTAGATTTTGCATGATGGCTGGATTTCTCGCGAAAACCATGTTTCTATCATGAGTTTTTAGTAATTTTGCTCTAACCTCGATCGAATATTTTCCTTGTCAATGGCGTCCTGCTTATAGATGCTGGTCTACGTGGGATAAAATCACTTGCCCTATCAGAGTATTTGAGTGCTTTTGTTAACAAAGTAGGGTACGCGTAATTTTTGATCTGCATTGCAAGTAAATGAAAACGTTTGAAGTACCTTAGAGCGGCGTTATCTGGAACTGCTTGGCTAACGTACACCAAAAACTGCTACCGCAGTCACCACAGCATCCTGGGCTTTTACTCCCACAGCGTACGACGTCGTATATAGAATCGTAAATGGGCTAGGAAACGCTTTTAATTGGCTGACTTATTGCTTTCACTGCCAAGATCACACCAAACCAATTTTTGCCTTCTTAAATTACGATCGTAAATATTTGTGGTATTGCCCTGCCAAAGCGCGCGCGAGTTTACTCCTACGTTCTGGCCACATCGCGGTGTCCATGGTCAGGTTAAAATGGTGCTTTTGAAAGGGTAGGAGTTTCGGGAAGTCGAACAAATTAAAAAATGTGGCAGATGCCAACATGTCGCCAGAGGTAATTCCAATTGGCCTAAAAGTTCACAAATGTTAGCCATCCTGTGCACTGGTTTACACTTTCAAATCGTTCTCAATTGACTGGCTTAAAAGATTTCAATGTTTGCCCCAGTTTATGGAGATTTTCCTAATACTTTAAACCTTACAAATGTAATGGGTGCATGTTCGAAAGAATTTTTACCCTTGCTTGAGTTAGCGCTTCCAAAAGTTTCGTTAGTAATTATTTGTTATGGCCGTAGGCACGGCTGAAGGTTACCATTTCATGGTTTGATCACGAAGTGGGCATCTGGGTTCAGAATCTGCCTATCCATTATCGGTGCACAAAGGAAAAGAGATCTTGTTTTTCTGACGTCAACATTTTTCTGCTTTGCTTTCATGTCTAATTTGCTAGCAAGTGCTCGTGTAGCACACCACGAGCATAAAGCGATTGTTAGAACATCACGCATCCGTGTCTTCTCACTGTGATATGATTGTAATTCTGCGCGAGGCTTTTTCATCCCGTTCTTTCGTTATGTTTTACAGGGCACCCTGAAAGGATTCGACAATGTCATCAACCTAATTGTCAACGATAGTCATGAGAGGGTCTTTAGTCCAGAACGCGGAGTGGAGCAGGTACCTTTGGGGCTGTCAATCATTCGAGGGCAAAATGTGTAAGTGATTCTGTTTTCATACCCGTGTTGTTTCTAAGCGCACGGTTTACATAAACTATTTTGGTAGAGATTTTGGGGAGTGACATGTCTGTATGCAATACATCCAGCTGAATTGCCGCCGATACGCTGTTGTATTTAGTGGAAATTTGTCTTTAACAAGGTAGGTTTGTTGTGGAAGTCGGTGGTGTTAGTAGAAATTCAAGCAGTTTTTCGCAAGCACAAGCTGAAATGGATAGATGCACGAAGCTCGAGCCTGTGCTACGAAATCTGCCAATTTAATGCTTCAGTCACAACAAAGTTGGCCCTAAATGTGAAATTATTCTACCACCCTCACGCTTTAATAAATTCTCTACAAACGATTATCAAAGTCGTTGTCACAGACGTCGGGTTACTGAATGCAGGCCCCCTTAGCACGAGCATCAATTCCAACGAAGTTTATTGTAGTATAAAATTTCCACTCGTGTGGCGAAGAACTTCGCTTGATATTCTCGTGTTGGCCTTTTTTCTTGACCGATGGCGCGTACTGAGCTTGACCGTCCTCTCCTGCTGAAATATCATAAAGACCCACTGCGCTGGGCATCACACACTCATGTTTTTTGCCGATTTCCTCTTTGTAAACTGCTACAGTGTGGGTTTTAAATTTTGACAGTGAAAATAACGTGGTATGGCCGCAAAGTCCGATAATGGAAAAACTCTTTGTCATTGCATGTTTGGATAAGCTGTTCACTACATGGAGTCTCATCCCTCCTTTGGTTTGAGTCAACGAAAGTTTCCAAGACGTTCTTCACATCGGAGGTTTTGCGATTGACAGGTGCTGCGAAGTTAATTCTATAAGTTTAATGAAAGCACACCATTCGGCATTTCCAACTGGTGCCCGAATTGCAGAGCGAGTTGACAGAGCACTTTTTTTAAAAAAAAGTAGTCTTGTTTTGAAAATTCTCAAGTGTTTACAAACATTGTGATCTGTGGTTGTTAGATGAAGCACACGTCTGGCCTAGCGTGCAACGTCATAGTTTACCATGCATACCTCAAAACTGCTCCCTTAGAAACCGGCGTGTATTGAATTCAGCGAAGGTTCCGTGGTGGAGTTTACTTACTAGGAGATTCGCCTGGCCGCCGCGGTGTTCTTGTTCATTGGCATAATCCCCGGCATTCGGCTATCACTTTGGGTTCCTTTTTTACACAACCTCATTCCACTTACGCTACACATTTCAAAAGCACTTATCCGTCTGGTTAACTTGTAATGTTTCATAGTGCCATGATCCCAGTTCCGATTTAGTGGTTGACGAAATTATTGTGCAAGTTAAATTTTTCTTGATTTAAGTTCCTTGCAACGAATACCTGGAAGTACACATCATACTTGCACAGGTCTCGCTAAAATACTGAGCATCTTAAAGGTCGATATATTTTTAACGTTAAAATTAGCGAAATCGTTCACCTCCCCTCAGGTGTTCACCCTCAGTACCGGTGATCAGCTATTGAATACAAATAACCAAGATTCTGTTATGTATCTGCGTAATTGCGTGGTTATGTTAATTTACTAAATTCTCGTACGTGGTTCCGACCGCAATTCCACCACATTAAACTCCATCGTAAAACAAGCGTTCTGTCCACCGTGGCATTAAAGTGCGCAGCTTCTCTTCAGAGAAGTGTTATAGATGAAGAGCGCGTCTGGGAACACGACATTGTGTGTGGATTCCATCGAGGTGGTTTGCTTGTCTGACGGGGCTTTGTAAGTGTTGCTGAAAAGCAATTCCTCTGATCTTCAAATGATTGCCGCAGGGCAACTGTTATTAACGGCTTGGCCACTTGTGTCAGTGTAGGCGGAAATCAATCGCAATTCTTTTTTTACTGCCACTTCTCGTTTGGTAATGGATTTTTAATACTCACCAATTGGTACTATTTCATCGTAGATCGATGAAATTCAATTTTATTAAGACAAAGTACCATTTTGCCAGACATTATGTGGTATTAGAACTTAATCAGAGCTTTCTAGCAAGTTTTCTTTTCAGATTTTCTAGTTCCAGCAACGTGCATTCGTGTTTATCTGTTCGCAGGACTTGATACAGCCAATACTCAGTGCATTGTTATATTACGTGGCTGTGTCAGACCAGACTTAAACAACCAACCCTGCCCTATTCGGTTATCTGTTTATTAACTCTTGGTACTAGGCTTTTGAAGCCAGCTCACATATTGCGTAGGTTGGCATCATTAATTGCTGTAGGATTCAATTTACACGCGAATTAGTAAACTGTTGTACACGCACTAGGTTGTAGAACGAAGGACTTTAATTCCGCTCAGTAATTGTGTGCAGTAGTAACAAGTAAAATTTTATCAAAAGTCCCACATGCAGAAGTTAAGGGTCGTCAAGGTACTTTCGCCCTAACATATTTCCGTTTCCCTGTAACCATTAACCTTAGAAATCGGAATCTTTGAGGCTTAAAGGTTTTTCACGGTTCCTCTCTCCGGTATCTAAGCCAATCTCAAAAAACCGGTGTTTTTTTACCGTTTAGGCTCTTATCAGACCATTCAGAGACATTCTTTGCATCTGTGGATGTTTTTCATTTTCGACCCTGTCACCGATTTATGCGTTATAAAATTTTCACTTGAGATCAGAGTATAGCGATCCTGTTACTTGCAATTATGTGGGGTGTTCGCGACTTATTTGCCTTCTTCGGAAGCCGCTCAACCACAGTTCTTTTCATCGGAACATTGTCTCGCATCCAGGATGTGATTCACGCTAATAACAGCCGAAATATCAAGGGCGAATTTCGTTTCCTGTCAAGTAAAATGATGCAGAGACAATTTCATTGCTGCCTAGTTTTCACACCTTGTTGTCAGCTCTGACTTTTGTTTTTCCGTGTCTGGCGCCCAATTCATCCGAGCTTATCTAAGACCTCAGGTGAGGAGTTTATTCAAGACGACCAAATGTGTAAGGTTTTAATCTGTGAAAATAATTTTTTTTTTAAATTCTTCTCATAGATTCCTCTGGCGTCCGCAACGCGCGCCTTACCACTGTTTTCCCTTTATTTGTGCTCTCTGCCTTCCTCGTGTGTGGTACGCCCATCCCACGAACAGCTGCGACCTCGTCACTTTTACATATATTCTTTTTATGGAAAAAATCCTACATCGTTGGTTCAGTGGCCCGTCATGTTTCGTAAAACCTGCCAACTTTATGTTCCAGGGGATTTTCAAATCCTTGAGTTAACAGTTCTCCTCTTCTTATCCAAATATCGTGTTGCCCACTGTGGGTGATCTGTTGTTTTTGGGTAGAAGTGGAGTGTTTCGGGCATTTTTGTCCCAGAGTAAACAGGCCCTCCCCTTAATGACAATTTCGGGCTTCTTTCTAGTAAACACAGGCGTCTAATTTGACCAGAAATTCTTGCTCTCTGCTCAACAACACGAGTGCATTATGAGAACCTCCTCACGCCTTGCTTCCATTTCGGTGTGTTATACCTTGTAAAAGGGCTTAGAAACCTAACATGCATTGCCGCACCTTCAAGAAAACGTTTCAGTGTCACTTGTGGTGCCGCTTTGTAGTTCTGATATGCCACATCACAGCCCTACCGCCCATTTACAGCCTGAGGCGACGCGTCGCGGTGGCTGTGACCGCTCTTTCACCCACTTAGCCTGCTGTGGCCTTGTGCGCGCCCGCGTGCGTTGTGAGCGCCTTTACAGAGGGCTTGTGAACAGGGGCCAAAGGAGGGTAGAGATGAGTCACAGATACCAACCATCTTCCGCTAAAAACCTGTTCGAGCAAGCTTTCGCTCGTAGGCTGACAGTCCTCTACAAACTAACGCAACGTCTAATCACTAATTAACCTCGTTAAATGGGAAGCTCGTGGTTTGTCTGAGGCCAAGTGTGGGGTTACTAATTTTACGGTTGACGTTGTATTACACTCAATTGATAGGACAACAAATGTTGGCAATCACTGACCGTCTCCAATTTTGTCCACTGACTTGTCTAATTGCATTATGGTGGGCATTTGTTTTGGTTGCGGCGCATTGGGACGCAAAACTAAGACTGCCTTTATTTGAGCAGCAGCGGCAGCTTTCGCACTGTCCTTCTTTCAAAGCAAAACCCACATGTGGGTAGCTGAGTCCACTGTGTATCCCAGTAGCTTTCAGTGCCCAGTTCTGCAGCAGTCTACTAAAACAAGTTTTTTTTCCGCGTCATTTTTGGTTACTTACGAGTTGTAGAGAATGCTCTGGCCACTTCTTTCCAGCAGCACTAGTGTCTGTAAACTTTCCCCTACACAACCATCTCCTGAGGCTCACAACCGTGGCATTTTAATGAGATGGTGACAGCGTTTTCTCCGGTCTTACTTTTCCGGCCATTTCACTTTAGGTATGGAATATAAAATCCAAGTAAACTCTCTCATCCCAAAATCAAACCTCCAACTGTGAAAAAATTAACGAATGCCACACTGCAAAAGTGGGGGATTATTAGCAGGGTTAAGGGAAAAGTGGGGTTAAATAAAACACCGAGTCCTACTATTAGTATGTATTATTTCGCCAGGTTTTAAAGATTTTTTTCTAAAATAAGGTTATTTGAAATGTGTTAATTCAAGTCTTTGTTAGTTGGATATGTTTCCATTCTTCCATCCGTCGCAGCCTTGATAGAATGAATTAAATTAACTTTTCGAGGACCTGAGGAGTATTAAAGTTTGGAGAGAGAAGTTTAAGCAGAAGTGTGAAACACAGCATAGCATTCTACCCACAAGAGAGTCAATAGTTGTACTTCAGGAAATAATTCAGTAAAATCCTGGAAACCTTTTTGGTCAAATTTGGTCCGCGTTGTTGGGAATACTTTGCATTGACTTAATTCCAACTGATTGCTTTGTGCCAAGTGCTTAAACACACTGAGTCATTGTTGACCACTTGCGTATTCAGATTTACGAACGGGAGTATTGTCTTGAAGTATCGATGTGCACGGCCAACAAGCTAAATCACGTCGATTGGATGACTGGTTTTCCAAAGCTGACTACTTGGGCCCTGATGAAGCAATCGGTACACGACCTACAAATGATTGATAGTTATGCTTAGTGGCCTTCCAAGCCATGCGATTCGTGAAATGCTTGAACGCACATACCGGCTTAATGGCATTCTTTGAGTGTTTTCGTCCCAAGTGACCTTTTGCATGGAGTTCGATTCGAGGCCATGTAACAAATTCTTATCTCTGAAATTTCTGTTTTCCTGAATTAAAAAGGCCATTTGATGGCCAACCTTAGCACATATCTCATTGTCTTCATGTTTTTTTTACGTGGACTGCCCTTGCGAAATGTGTTAACTCCATTCCTGTCGTAAATGTTTCGTTAATTGAATTAGGCCTGACCTCGTGACGAGTGCCTTCAGAGAAATCTTCCTCTAATGCACTTGGTGCAATTCGTTATTTGCTGTATAAGACCTGAATTTGTTCTCTTGTGGCATCCAAACCCACAAACTGCTTCCATTGCTTCCCTTATGTGATTTCGATTGCGTTAAACTTTCACCTTAACCGAGTTTCCGACGCATCACTAAACCATTAAGGCTGTCAAAAACGATAAATTTAATAAAAATCCACTATTCAGGGTTTGTCTTGGATATAACCTATTGAGTAGAAACGCCACAAATTTACACTATTCCCATATCAAATGTCATTTTTGTTGACTAAGCTAGTCGGCTTTGTTTTCTGAAAATTTGTAGTTTTGGGCGTTTACAAGTTAGTTACTCAAAACCACATTTGTCCAGACGGAAAACCGACTGCATGATGAATAGTTCGCCAGTAGAGGGTTTCTTGTGAATTTGGCTCCCACACGTGTTCCCCTAATGAGTTCGATTCAGTTCCCATCTTCCAGCCTTTGCCATTCCCTCTATATACGAGGGTGCATTCATCAGCATTTGGGCATGCTCAAGTTTATCGGTATTTCGTCTTTCCACCACCCACCACCACCACCACCACCCCCTCCCCCATCAGCTCAGCAGTTCGTGCTGGTCAACTGCTGTGCGCGTGTCCGGACGGTTCACGCTGGGCTGGCTCCGCCGATTCACAAAATTCATTTTTAGGACTTACCTCGAGCTTCGCCCTGTTTTTTCATGAAGCTGTCCTGTTTCTACAACAAGGGTCGATCTTTTGCCTGAAATGTGATTTCTTCTCAGACTCGTGTTCATTTAGTAAACTTCCGGAAAAACCAAACTTGGTTTCTCCCATTTGCCCGTGTGAATAGATTTTATCTATCCGCCGCGACTGGGAGAACAAAACCCATGTATTTGTAAATTATTTGAGCTTTAAAAAAAGACCCCTCGTTTTAGCGCACAGTGGATGGTTCTGCTGCTGCTGCTGCCTGTCGCGGTTCGTCGAGCGCAGATTTGCCTTAGAGTAGTCGGGGTTGACTGATTTTGTGAAAACCACTTGATGATTTATTCCAAAGACTGGCTCCAAAAAGTGGACCAAAAACTGCTATGTTTTTTTCCCTTGTGAACGAACTGGGAATGCAAGGTATGGTATATTCTCCAGTAATTTACACCGTGTTCTAACCACTACGATTCGGCCGTTGCGGTCTAGCAACACCTCGTGTTTGCACGCTGAAGTTAAGAACCTGGACCACTAAGCCTAGGAAAGAAAACAACTACAAATGTTGTAGAAATCCGTTATTCACGTACAGCTTATCAAAGTGTGTCACCGTTGCTCTGCTACTTACAATGTTATCCTGTTTTTTTTCATGGGAACCAGGCTAACTCACCATTTCTTCGAAGAACCGTTGAGGCAGCACGCATTCGTGTGCAATTCAGCAATTGGCATCCACAAAAATCGGTTCATTAAAGATTTATTTAATAATGTTTGACATCGCTTCGTTTTTCTTTAAATTCGTCCACGAACTCTGTTTACGGCAGTTTTAGCTCTTGTTGTACCTGAATATCTGCACACACTTGTTTCAATTAACGGCATTTTTAATGGAGATTTGTTTCCGGACTGTGCCGGCAATCCTGGTTACTTATCTAGGCACGCAGCCAATGGAACCTCCTTTTCATAAGTTTGCGTGCAGTCCCGAATTAGTCCGCCGACGACACCTTCTCCATGCACACACCAGGGATTCGATAGCCGGCCAAACGCCGCAGACAGTCTCAAATGTTGTGTTTAATTGCTGCAAGTGGCTCGAGGGTTGTTTTGTCTCCCTGCCGGAGGGAACCGTGCATGCGTGCATGTCGCCAGTGTCAGTCGTTAAGGCATCAAACATTCAACATTTTGCATTGTCTTGCCTCAGCCAGTTAGCTGCGCTTTTCAGCGCATTACGCAATCCTGTTGGGCTGTTTGCCTTTACGCCCTCCGTCTTTTAAGGTGTTTTTAAATGGAAATGAGGGAAAAAATTCAATTAGATTGGTTCACACCTTGGAACCCATTGAATGTCGTTTCTAAGCCTGAAAGTTCTTCGTTCAGTGTGGCAGATCAACGTTTGGGTTTCTCAGTTACATTGGCTTCCTCGTAATGCCAAAATGTGTGCTTTTAGTCGTCTTCATTGGTAATCTTTCTAACCTGGTTGCTGTGCTTGAGTCGAACAGACAGTGCGTTGCAAATCACCGCCGTGTCACCGGTCTCACATGACTCGGTGCCGCAAATGGCAAATTTAGCCAAGCTTTATTATTGATCTTTTAACAATTCCTACACTAGCACACCGTTAGCGAAATCGCCATCACAGTCATCTTGCTCAAGTATTACGCGGAATGGTACCGCACTACTATACCAAAAATATGTTTCCTCGTAAAATAAGTGGGTTTATCAAGTCGCGTCTTGACAGGTGCCTGAAATACCGTTCCTCGTGGCTACTCCCCAGTGTCCTTCCCTTTTAAAATGGTTACCACAACGTGGGACGGGATGCTGCTGGCGCATTCGCTCATATAGTGGCGTTATTTTGTAGAATTGTTTGGTTCTATCATCGCGTTTTGTCCCTCGTCAAGTGCTCCAGCGCATGCGCACAGTTTCAAGCCATGTTATGCTCTCCTGTTGATTTGGCACTCCAGGCTTTTGTGATCAATTCTCTGCAATAGACGCAGCAATAAACGTGTTTTCGCCAAGGTAAACTTAAATATTTAATGTACTTTAACCCAGGTTTTTGTCAAGGGGGTGGCGTTACGTGTCTACATCTTTAGGCGTTTCAAAAATAGGTGGGTAGGCTGTTGTACCTCGTCACTTAAATGGACCCAATGGCTGGATGATTTCTTTTCCTTGACGATCTAATTCCCGTTTTTTTTTTCTAGATTACATGTCAGCATGTTGGGCAGTCGACATTTAATTTGGTGTTTTAATTCGACGGCCAACGGGCTTTCCTCGTCGGCACATCTCGCTTAACAACATTGCGAGCGATGGGTTGTTTGTATTAATTAACGTCAGTTTTCCGTGTGACACGGCTCGCTAGCGCTAGCCCACTGTTGTTTGCTCGCATGGTCTCTTTCTGTCGGGAGATGGTGCACTCCAAGCAGTCGATACGACCTAAAGTGCTTCTGTCACTGCAATTTTTACTCGTAATTTATGTGCGGCCGTTGTCGTGTTTTTCTCTGATAATCAGAATATGTCGTTCTATTCCGCTTCCTTGTCGTTTCCCAATAATTCTTGAACGATTTCATCTGAGGCCCCTTTGCCTCGCATATCCGATATCCCTAAACGACCTTACAGTGTTCAAGGCGCTTACTTTCTTGACGACCCGTCAAATAATGTCGTCGGCTGTGCAAACTATAAACGAGACACCCTGAATATGTATCTTAACCACAGCGCCCTTGCTATATGCCTCTGGTTTGACTAATTATGAAGGAGTTCTGCTACTTTCCATCTTGAGTAGTAAACGAATACGCAAACTTGTTTTACCATACTATTAAGATTTAAATTGAAATCGTTTTTCGTCGGCAAAAGTGTCTGGTGTGTACGTCAGAACGGAGTCGCTCGTCAACTGAAGTGTAAAGTGTGCGTAAGGCATTAGAGATAACCACCGCGGGTACAACATAGGGGCTTTTATAAATAAGCACCTTCACCACCAACACGTGACCTATTGACAAAATCACGTCAAAATATCGCCTCCCCCATTCCAACCACCAGAAACGGTTTGTGAAAGGTTCATAACTTGTTTTACGCTCATCGTCCTGCGCTCAGTGATTACATTTTCAAGAGCCACCGCTTACCACTTTCTTGGACGATTCCGTGAACCATTCATGCTGACAATTGCCCTAATTGTGCATTCTTCCGAGAGCGATATGAAAGTGATGGAATAGCAGCGAGGCGTTCATGCCTAAACAAGGTTTTTAATCTCTTTTTTAGAGCCGTAATTGGCGAGGTTGACGAGGATCTGGATGGCCGCATTGACTTCGACAACTTGCGTGCTGAACCCCTAAATCCTGTTGTTCATTGAACTAACATTTTTTTATGTGTTCCCATTTCCCATGCTGTGAACGCGTTTTGGGAACTGTTTTGGAGATTAAACCAACTGTAAAATCCTGATTTCGAGTTAATTTGGGAGACAGTGTTGTCGAAGGGTGTATTGCTTTTTGAGTTTTAGAAAGATTTTTGAATTTGGGGTCAACTTCCTGGTTAACAGACTTACAGTCTGAAGTCTCGATGTTGTTAGGGTTAAAAAACGGAAATTCTGCAAAGAAAATGTCTCATATGCCTTGTCCTCTATGAGTACGAAGTGTCTAACATCGCAACTAGATCATCAAGCATTTACTTCAACTGTTTCATGCGCATCACCGGCTTGGTGAGCTATTCCTGACATTCCTGTGGCACGTATATCCGTGCACAACTTTTTTTACAAAAACACCTGGCGGTTGTAGCTGGTTCTGTGGAAATGTTTGGCCCCACTCATCGCTTCAACATCAGCCTCAGGACAGCACGCTATTGGCGTCCAATTCTTGAGCGGACCGACTTTTCACACGTTGACCCCTAATCGGAAATGCATTATCTGGTCTCATGAAATTTATCTCGCTCTATCGCTCGAGAATAATAATCTTTGTATACATTAGCTTAGATGAGATACCTGATCGAAGTTGTGCTGTTAAGGCACTGATACGACTTTGATTTGGCCTCTGGCCAAGGCATCTCCTTTGCAAAATTGGCGCGAAAGTCGATTGTTGGAAGTGTTTAAATTCGTAGACCGCATTCAAAGCTGCGACGACCAAATAATACTGCAAAACCACAGTGTTAATATCGGCCTTGACTCAGTCAACTGTGTGCGCAGGCCAATTGCTTAATGGAGAGAAGCGTCGCGGAGATTTGTTACTGAGGCGCTGTCTACTGACCATGGGTCATACGAGCTTAATAATTTGGATAAATAATCTTTGAGCAGTTTTTCGATGGACTTACCTGTAGTATTCGTTAAATAGCACTGAGTAGGATGATTCTTAAATTTACCTGTCAACTCTAAATGCATTGTTACAGCAACCATTTTTTGATTCCATATCCCTTCGTACACTAGTGAATAGCCACCAACCACACTGCACGCAGTTGGGTGGTTTTGCAGTGTTCAATTCCTGATCCATTTGCTACGGCTGTCCAAGGAGGCGCCACCTTCCATGAAGTATTTTACTTAGTATTATATGATTTTGGAAAACCCACTATATCATCTCTGGCTAAATCGCAAGTGTTAAAGGAAGCACGAAAAGCTGTTCTTTTGATGGCTCTCAGGTAGCGTAAAGCTATTCATTTTGTGTGGTTGCGAACAAGATTTAAATAGCCCAGCCCTAAGGTTGGTACCCTAGTCTGGATAGATATGTAGTGAAGCGGCAGTGCAAATGATCTCGTTAGAACGTTAGCACAACCTCTGTGTAAAATCTGTGGCGAGTCGTGTCAACGCAATTGGCAGAATTGGTCCATTATCTTTGCCTTCGCATAACTTTTTATGACTATTAATAATATCTTACATCAGTTGCTTCGCAGATAAATGATAACGCCTAGGTTGTTACACCCACAATTAATACCCGAAAACTTGGCGTTTGGTGCACAAGAGACTGTGATTTTTATCTTGATCACCTTTTTGCTCGTAGCCAAAGGATGGCAACACTGGGTTTCCTCAGTTGATCTCTTGCACTGGTACCATGCTATGTGGACTAACTAGACGTTAAAACTACCGTGAGACTTCGCCAAACGCTTCGCTCACCAGGACGTTAATCCACTATGCCAACCATTAAGTTGTAGCCATCATTGATTCCTTAACAGTGGAGATAGTGTGTACCTTCCCGCTTAACAGTTCAAAACTGGTTTTTTCCGTTCATAGCAGCTACCAGAGTTGTCAACGCTGATTCATTTGGCTAATGTCTTCCTACGACAGGGAATTTTTACTAGTGGAGTTTGCGTGATTTTGCCAAACTTTAAAAAAGGCAGTGTGCAACCTGGTAAATTTTAGGATTTCTTAAATGTGGTCTGTTCCATTTTTAACAAACGATCGATGTCAGTTGAATTAGTGCCAAGATAATTCTCTAAAAAGTGACTGAATTGATAAACAAAATCATCAAATAATAACCGCGACTGTTGCTGGAGAGGAACCTCATGCAATAGGATAACCTCGTTGTCATATCATGGGTGTTTAATGGTTCCGTGTAGTGCACAATAGTGCACTCTGATTTTGAGTTTTTATCGTCACCCAGAGACCAATGATAAATCTTAAAACAATACTTCTGCTTTGATTTAGCTGTCAAGGGTTCGGTTCTAATACTATTTTCATGTCGTTAATTTTGGCTTGAGCTGTGACTGTTTGACTTGCTGGAACTCCCGGTGTGGTCCGAATACAATGACGTCAGTTTATGTAGGATGGCTTAACATCGATCTCTGAACGAATGTGGCTACCTGGAGTACGTTTGAAGTAAATAAACTGATTTTGTGTCCGCTCACTCTTGCTAACAACATTCGGTCGCTGACTGCCACAGACTCAACCAATTATTTCCTCCAACATTTGGGAAGAGACCTAAGTCTTGGTTTTCTTAAACTAATCCATTCCTTGTTTGACAAAAACACAGTCCTCTACTGTTGATACTTGACATTTATTCTCCAACTAACTAGGCTTTGTTTGAGGCCTGTAGCACGAAAAACGGTCCAAATAATAAGCCTATCCGATCAGTCGCTGTCGCGGTGCGTGGGGCGTCGCTAAAGACGAGCACGCAAACATACCGCATGGTCACAATCAATGGACACGCTGTTATCGATTTCAATTTAGTCAAAATTGGAAGCCGCTTGCGGCGTTTTTGTGTGTGCACCTGACTATCTACAAGAAAAAGACAACTTGCCGATTTCAGGACATACCTAAAGTGTGAGTCCACATTGTGAGGCCACCATGCTTACTAGAATAGGTGAATGCACCACACCCCGAACTACTCTAACAAAATCGGGATCTCATGTCTATAGCTCAAATCAAACTCCATATGGTTTCACTCGCCAAATCTGTCAGGAATTTAGTTTCGAAATCAAATGCTCTCAGCTGTCTCTATTATAACCTTTAAAATTGAGCAACAAAACTTTTAAATGCTAGGATCTTGACTCCCGAAGAATACCAATCGATTGTAGTCACACTGTTCTGATTGGATTAAAACCAAACAAAAACAATGTATGGACTAATTAGTACTAGGTTAAACATTAAAAGCATGGCTTTGAAGATTGATTTTTTGATTGGCTAAAGTAGCTCGTGCGTTACGATCAAATCTTCCTCGATATTCGGAAGCTAAATTTCAGCGGCACACTTAAGCATGACCTCATTACTTAAACATACATTCAGGAGTAATAAAGTTGGCTGAGCCCGATAAATGTCATGAACCCCCTAGAAAGAGATGTCCAAAATGTGAGTTTTGCTCCCAGCAAAATTCCTCTCTGATTTTGACCATATGTCAATTTTGACATCTGTTCACTGCCGGGTGTCAGGTCTTCCAGTGGGCTTCGTCTTTCAAAATACACAACTTTTTCACACCTAGGTGTTACCTTTCATTTTTTATGCAATTTATACAAAAATGTACATGTCTTTAACTATTAAAATTATTTGGTGCTAACAAGAACAATAATTTTGCTTCAGTGCAAGAGACTTCAACCAATTTTCGGGGCCTGACCCAAAAATTGGACCTTAATTCTTGAACTTTAAAGTGAAACGGTAGCCTTTAATTTTCCCGCGAGTTATAAAAGCAGTTAAACGTGGTTTACTGCTTGAAGGTAAACAGAAGAGGAAAAATCAGGAACCGTCTTAGTATGCCGAAAATATTACTGTGACTCGGCACGAAAAAAATTGTGGATCACGATGTTCATAAAGGGACAAAATCAAACTTAATATTAAATCTGCTATAACCATGGTAATTTGAACGAGCAAAAATTTTTGTTGTGGAATAATCACCTATGTATAACTGAACATAAAATAACCAACGGAAATGGCTTAAACAAGTTTTGTAAATTTTCACAAAGCAGAAATTAACTCTTTAAATTCAAAAAGGTTACCTAAGAGTAGTAATAAGAGCTACCAGAAATTAAACTTTTTTTCATCAAGTACGTATTATAGTGCCTCATTTGGTGCGTATTTGCGCAGCTCCAATTGATTATTGCGCTCAACTAAACTCCATTTGGATTTTTTAAAATTATAATTGACCGTGCTATCAATTAGATCGTCGTGGGTGAATTTGGATATCATGGCCACTTGCTAATGTTTGAATGAACAAACATTCTGTCAAAATTACTTATGGTGCCTAAATTTTAGATTTTCTGTGCGGTAATAGTATTTACAATGTCTCAAAGCACGGTCTGGTATTAAAATATCCAGGCAGACGAAAAGCCCTATTCAACCCCTGAAGGATTATCTAGACTGACATCCAGGTAGCTAAGTGTCGGGAATTTAATAAGTACTTATAGGGTTATAGGCACCCGCTGTTTAAAAAAAATGGCTCGGACTAAAGAAAACGAAGTATTTACTCGACCAGTGAAAAGCATCGACACAGTTAAGCATGTGTAGAAGGATATCCGGATATTTATGTTGCTAAAGACGACTTTTCGCTGCTGGTGAACCAAGGAGGTAAAAGATGTTAAAAAATTTACTTTTTGGTTAGGTTTAGTGAGTTATGCGGTTTGCACAAAGACAAGATCAAACGGTGGCCCGATTTTCGTGTCACTATAAAGAATTAATCGAGTGATGAGAAAATTGGGCCATACTAATCTCATAGTTTCACAAGACGGTGATGGCCAAATTCACTAAGTTGTTGTAACTGGTGTTATTAAAATAGTGCAAACTTCTATTTTGGTTAATTTAAACTTTTTTAACTAGCATAAATTGACAAATAGAACGATTTTTTGGCCCTGGTGACGCTTCAGAGCCAAAGACTCCTCAGAGTGCTCTTCTTATTTCAAGAATTTATAAATAACAAAGGGATGAAAGAAAATTTCTTTGATTTC